ATAATTTCAATCACTTCAATAATTTTTAATTGTACGGTAGCAGTATTTCCCAAATTTGAAGCAGGCGTCGGTAACTCTTGCTTCTGCCGGCCCGGAGCAACATATCTGAATTTCCTGTAATTTTTTAAAAAAATGTCGAAGCAAGCTCTTTTGGCCCACATACTGAAATTTCCTCGCACGCGTCAGAACGACCCTCAAATTTTGCCTCGCAATAAACTACCATTTCCCTATTTTTCCTCTATTTCTTCCTTTTCCCATCTTACTGGATGCGCATGGAGCAAGCTCAAGCAGTACTAGAACTGTGTCATTTTTTTTTACCCTTTTTCTTTCTAGCTAACAAGTTTCAAGATTTGGTTTCCATTTTTTTTTATCCCTTCTTTCACAATCAAATCAACCAAATTAAAGAGCAGAAGGAAGGTATTGATTGCTTTGGATGATTCAATGATATTTTGTTGCTTAAACTTGCTACCTTCCAGAAAAAACATCCATTTTCTTTCCCCCTCAACCTCATCTCAGAAAATTAAACGTTTTGGTTATTTCTATGATTTCACTTCCTTCCTATTAAATACTTGAAAATCTAGGATATACTTCTGGTTCAGGCATTAATGGCAGACCCCATCTCTTTTTTCCTCTAAAAAGATCCTCTTTTGGAGCCATTTCTTGGCTGTTTCGCCTTTAACGGTGCACATTTCCAGGGTATGGTTCTTTATTCGGAAGAATGATGAAGAGCAGGGAGACACAGGATTTGAACTCGATTACCCATTTGGATTTCCCCAAGAAAGCCAAAAACTTTAACCCTCTTGAGCCGTTTCTGGGTGTTCTTGGGTTCATTTTGGTCACGTTCCTCTTCATTGGTTGCTTCTTCTACTTTGACTACCGTGCCGTCCACTTCCGTGGGGTTCCATGGCTTGGACTCGTTGGGGGTGGATCATCACCGTCATTGTCAGCAGCACCGCATGCGGCAGTGGTACAGCCACCAATGGTGGCTGTGAACGTGAATGGACGAACGGGGTTTCTTGATGAAGGTGGTGATAGTTGCGATGTGTATGATGGGAACTGGGTTTGGGATGATGACTATCCGTTGTATCAGAGTCAAGATTGTCCCTTTGTGGATGACGGTTTCCGGTGTTTGGAAAATGGGAGGCCGGATGGTTTCTACACCAAGTGGCGTTGGCAACCTAAAGGTTGCGATTTGCCCAGGTTCTTTTTCTTGTTTCTTCTCTCTTATTTCCTGTTCATTTCTGTTTGTTTGCAGTAGAGAATTGAAAGTTTCAATAACGAAGAGAAAATTTTGAAGTGATGGGTTATCTATACCCCTTGTATCAGTTAAATTGAGATTAATGTTTTGTTGGTTTAATCTCAAGGGCTTTACTTTTGAACCTTATTTTGAGTAAATCTTATTATTATGAAGTCTGAATTATATTCTTGTAAAATCTAGTTTGATTGTTGAAAGAACATCATATCTGAGGCAAAGTTGGGTTTTGATGACAGATTTAATGCAAGAAAGATGTTGGAAAAGCTGAGAAACCGGCGGCTTGCATTTATAGGTGATTCGATTGGGAGGAACCAGTGGGAGTCTATGCTCTGCATGCTTGCCTCTGCTATACCAAACAAAAAGTCTATCTATGAGATAAATGGGAGTCCAATTACAAAGCACAAAGGGTTCTTAGTGTTCAGGTTTGAAGATTATAATTGTACAATTGAATACTATAGAGCTCCATATCTAGTGGTCCAGGGGAGCTCTCCACGTGGATCTCCAAAAGGTGTTAACATGACTTTGAGGCTGGATCGTATCTCCTGGACTCACCTTATGTGGAAAGATGCAGATGTGCTGGTTTTCAACACTGGCCATTGGTGGAGTTATGAGAAGACAGTAGGACAGTAAGTATCTTCATCATTTCTATAAGCCTTTTATGAAATATGAATTAATATTACAGGTGTTGTGTGTGCTACTGCCCATGGAATTTTTAAAATAGGAATCTAATCCTCAAGGTGGCTAGGTAGAGACTTTTTACAAGTGTAGTTGATCATGTTGCAACTATTTTTTATTGTTTAGTGAAGGGATATCAACTGAATGCTTTCAATCTACGGGCCATATTTTTAGTAAGCTTATAGCTGAGTCCAGCTAAGGCTGCCGTTCATAATCTTCTTGGTAATTTGTAGGTTAAATAACTTGTTGGAAAGGTCATCACATAAAAAAACTTGTTGGAAAGGCTTAATTTTTTGCATTGATACACTGTTCAGATGGGAAAATATCATTCTAGTTTATTGAATCAAATAATACAGTCATACATGTAACTAGATACCAGGTCAAGCAAGCAAAATAAAGTTTGATATTTAATGGTAATGGCACATCTCAACAAATTGCATTAATTCCCTTAATTTAATCATGCAAATTGGCCCTAAGATTTTAGGAGGGTGGCGTTGGCTGATATGTCCTCCTATATAATGTGACACTAAGGTTGCAAGTTCTGTGAGACTTGATTTGAGATGTTGAAACTACTTTGACTGCCTGCCTAAGAATAATGAAAAGCTGATATCTGGAAAGTTATTTATCCTTCATGACAATGAACTCCCATGGACAGAAGAGAGGAGCTTCTGTTAATAGGAATTCTCTAAATGCCTGTCATTGCTAATTCTAACCATAAAAATCAAGGATGTGTGATCTTTGTGTATGTTACTTTTCAGTGGTTGTTATTTCCAAGAAGGGACGAAGGTGATGATGGATATGGACATTTTGACTGCTTTCCGGAGGTCAATTGAAACATTGATGGATTTTGTTGTTACTCGAGTTAATACAAACAAGACCCAAGTTTACTTTCGAAGCTATGCTCCCGTGCATTTCAGGTTTTACCTCCCTGCTTTATTTTCTTTTCTATTTGACAATCCTTTTTTCCTCTGATTTCAGCTTTGCTTTAAAAAGCTTTAAGGTCATTATGGTTAATGCATATTATGGTATTGGAATTCATACTTGGAGGATTAAGAAATATGAAGAAATAAAAGTTTTATTGTTTAGGACTACCATACCGTAGATGCTCCAATAGCTGCCCTCTTGGCTGAGTTTATTGCAAGGTTTTTGATTGTATAACATGAAACCAACAAAGAACTATAGATACTGAAGTTTTATACCATTTTCCTCAGTTTTCACCATAACTGACTGTAGTACAAAGCAGAAAGAAAAGGAAGAGAACTATCCTCAGTTTTAATAGATGAAGGTAGTATGGATCTAATTTTATTGTATCTGTGTGATTTCATGCTATAGCAATTAGTCCATTAGAGGAATTCAAAGGTATAATATAAATTGCAACATAATTCCAGAATAGTTTAACTACTGGATTTTCAACTTTGGTTCTTGCAAATTACAATGCTGCAGCAACCTGGATTTATTGTTGTTATTCTTTAATTGCTTATCAGCTATGAAACTATATGATCAATTACTAATATATGCTGGTTGTAACAGAGGTGGAACCTGGAAAACTGGGGGACACTGTCACCAATTAAAGCTGCCCGACTTTGGTCCATTGCCTAACAAGACTGAGAAGCTTGTTGACATATTCTCAGACGTGTTGTCTAAGCAGTCAATTCGGATGCAAGTGATGAACTTTATGAATGTGACACCCATGACATATCGAAGACAGGATGGCCACACATCTCTATACCATTTTGGTCCAGGGAATGGACCAGGTCCTCTTAACCACCAAGATTGTAGCCACTGGTGTTTGCCTGGTGTCCCTGATTCATGGAATGAGCTTCTTTATGTGCTTTTCCTTAAACGGGAGTCCGTTCGGTTCACTGACAAAGTCCAACAGAACATTCTCTAGCTCTGGCTATGATGCTATACAAAGTTTATTCAGTTACCAAATTGATACAAAGGAGTTCAGATTCTATGGGAAATGGTCAACTTTCCTGACCATGGTTTGCCATAGCTTGATCGGAATACAACATTCTGTCGCAAACTCATTCTTTTCCTCTGGCTTTGTACACAAGGTCAGAGAAGAATTAGTTCTCTTTGTGGGTAGATAGGAATCATACCTCATCGTAGAGTCCATATCACACACTTTGTAGGTAAATTATTGACCTGGAACTGATGGAAGTTTCTTTGGAGTGGATGAAATTTGGAGAAAATAAAAGATGTCCCTGAAATCGTCACATGTATTTTTCATGTATAGAGAAATTGCTGGACTTTTAATG